CACAGCGCTTCCCCAGCGGAACCCGCTGTCCCGGGGGGGCAGAGCACCACCCTTACCTTTTGCCCTGCACTTCCTCAGCTCCCTGTCCTGGATGAAGCCAGCAAACATTTGGGATTCCATGAAAACTTCCAAGAAGCGGCGGATGCTCTTGGAGGCCACAGATTTACGGAAAGCCTCCCTTTGGAAGGCACGCTCTCCTTTTTCATTCTGGGTTAGGAACAGGGAATAATGGCCAACTGTCTCCACAAAGAATCGGATAAAAACCTCAGACACTAATCCATTCAGGGTGTTACATTCTGCAAAATAAGGCAGCAATAAGTCCAAAAATCAGCTGCTACCAGAGCTGTCAGCACTGTCATCCACACAAGGGCCAGGTGCTGTCATCTGGCAGTTTCCTGATGCCATGCTAATAACTGAAAGGAGTTGTGCCGGCTCCTCGCAGACCTGGATATACATCACACAGGGTAACAGCTTCAGAGTCGAAAGTACCAGTCTACACAACTGGCATTTCATAACTAAGGGTCAATGAGAAACACAAATCCTTGGGAAAGACTTCAGAAGATTAAGTATCTTGTAGGTGCTTCATCAAAATTATCCTTTGTATTTTAACTCTCGAGTAAGTTTTCTTGAGAAGCTTCTGAATTACTCAGAATTAAAAAGTTCTGGGGATAATAACAGGTCAAAAACAGATCCAAAAGGGTATAAAGGGTATGTTGTAGAATTTGGGTTTTCATTATTTCTGAGATGGTAAAATAGTTTTACATACGTAACACAGATGAGCAGAAATAAATTTTGAAAACTGAAAAGGGTTACATACCCTTTTGGTTACATACCCTTTGGTTACATACCAAACTGTTACATACCTTTTAACCAGTGGCATTTAAATTCAACCTGGGCTGTTTTTATAATTGCTGGCGAGAAACATGAATCTTCAGAGAGAACTCAGCCCTTCTTGCACTGAAACTATATTCTGGAGATGCCTTCTCCTCTCCCCTGAATATATACCCAACACCAAGAGCAACTCTGAACTCAGACACACCCCTAAGCATGTGTAGTTTGAATTAGGGCCAAGTTAACTGCAAACGTCTGTTTGAGCTAAGATTTAGAGGTACTCATGGGAGTGCATGTCATTTACAAAGAAAACAGATCACTGACAATGTGTTACTGCAGGTAACACAGCCGTGTGTTCAGAGACAATGTCTGATGTTGCAAAAGGTACGTGAGTATTGAAGTTCCACCTTTCTTTCTCCTGGATGGAAAGTCACAATTCTACCTGCATGCTTGTTTATACAAGTCTCTGTTTCCAAATGAACTTACCATCATCTGAATCACTATCTGAATCCTGATTTATCAGTTCATTCTTTCTCTCTAGAGCCTGCTCCAGAGCAGCTTGCAATTTTCTAGGTAATAGTGTGTCTTCATCGTCCATCTGAGAGAGGGAAAAAAGTATATTTAAATCACATTATCTGTCAGCAATTACAGCAAATATTTTTGCAAGGTTTAAAATGCAGAAGAAAGGCATTTTGCATCTGCTACTGTCATGCCTACATAAATAAAATAATGAAAATTTATATGCAACTATCATATTTTTAAACAAAATTTCTTGTTGCTTTTAATGAGACTAAAGTCTGATAATCCACAGAGCAAGGTAAACACAGAAATTTGGAATCAGCTCTATACGATGACGAGTCAATTTAGTTGTTTCTAACTAAAGACACATCATATAAAGTCTTCCTACGTGTGCACACATGTGCTCTTGTTGGTTTTAGGCAGATCCTTTGGTTCTTGACAGTTATTTTTACTTATATTCTAGTATATCTTGTTTTCTGGGACTTCCCCTGTTGCTCTTTTCATCTTATTTCATGCTTGTTCAGCAAAAGCAAGTAGATACATGAATCTTAACTCTGCCACCACTATTCACCAGCTGTGTCTTCCAGGGAATTATACAAGACAGTTTACTCATCTAACCTGCAGACTGTTATTTTTGAAATTATTTAGTGCCATATTGTTACCAGGAGTTGGTGAGCCTTCATCTCCCTGTTTACAGGGCTCCTGCTTTTCCTACCACACTAAACTGTTCTTCACCTTTCCTCTCTGAAACTTTTATTTGCAATTTTTGTCCTTTTCACATCCAACAGCATGAGTTTGCTCTCTAACATGACATTACTATCTTTGGATGTTTTCTTTGCACTGTGAATAGAGTTCTCAATTTCTTCTGACAGTCCCTGCCTCAATCCTTTTCACATACCTGAGGAACAGTACTTATTTGCATGAGAAACAGAAAATGAGCATTTTTTTTCTGGTGTAATCTCTTTCCCACTGCACAATTCCTGCCAAATATCTCTAACCAAAGAAACCTAATTGTACTACAGGAGAGTAAACAGCTTGTTAGACTGCATGGCAACATTTCAAGCTATACTTTACCTGTCTGATGAATCGATCAGATCCCAGGTTAACCATCAAAGCCTAAAGAAAAGAAAACACCATAGTGAAATATACCTTAAGGACAGCAAACATTCATCTGTACCTGCCTTTTAATAGCAAAAGTTCGTCTGAGCGGTCCCAAGCCTCAACATGAATCAAATTCCTACTGTGAACAACTCATCGTGTGCTTTATAAAACAAGGAGGAGGGTTTTTTTCAGAGCTTAAAGTCTAATTTAAGACAGTTAGATACAACAGATCTCATACTAGGTCTAAATATTAAAAAAACTAAGAGTTAGATAGGTCTTTCTTCTTAAATATAAGCAATTGATTCCTCATAATTTCTGTTAATATCCAGATGAAAAGTGTTTCAGAGGGATTTAAAGAAAATGGTGTCATTGAGTCAGCAGGCCTTCTGAAGTGCAAGGGTGTGAAATATTAATGATAATGAAGCAGCAAAGCTGAGAGGTGGAGCTGGAAAGAAGTTGGAGAGCAATGTTAAGGAAGTGGGAGGACAACAGAGCCGAGATTTACGTGGGCCAAAGACACAGTCACACAAAAGCAAGCACAAGAAAATAATATTTCACAGAAGAATGATAGGAAACTAACAGGAGTAAGAGAAAAGAGTGTGCCCTTGAGGATTTTTGCAGTATTTTATCAGAAGAGCTGATGAAGTAGAATTCTCATTAGATTTCCAATATAGTATTAACAAGTTTTAGAAGCCAAGAAAAAAACACACCTTAAGGGTTTTATTTTCTGTGCTGGCTATGGCTTCGTGCACAACTTCCATTAGCAGTAATAGGTATCATAGCAGATGGCACTTCATGTCTTCCTCTTCTTGTTCCAGGTACAGCAAAACCAGAACAAATCGGCATATTGACACTGTACTTACTTGTGGACCAGGTTAACATTCACTTCTCTCTGTCAAGATGCCGAGTATAGGAAGAGGGGCAGAATAAAGAGAAGACTAAACCTACTACTGCAGTTTTACCAAGAAGCAGTTGCCCATGAGGATTAGGTGGAGAAGTATCAAAGAGGCAGATTAAAAATTAAACATGTGAGGATTTATGTGCAAATGGCAGGCCCTCTCCAGGGTGAGGCCAGTTTTGCTCCAGGCAAACCATTCTGGTGCCAGCACCTACCTCCTCTACAGGCAGTTCCTTCAGTTTGGGCAGAGAGCTGGAGAGCAGTCCCACCAGGAAGGGAGTGGGGCAGCACACGATGTCGATCATGGATGAGGGCAGAACTGGAATGAAGGTGTGCTGCCAGGAGAAGGGGTACAACAAGGCCACCACGGCGTGCGAGCAGCTCGAGAGGGTGCTGGAGAGAGAGGAACAAACATGTTAGCAGAGGTTCTTCTTCATCCAGAACACCTACCACCTGCTGATAACCTTGGTGTGTTAAAATGCAAGCACTTAAAAGGCTGCCCTTCTCTCACTTCTGACTTTGGGTGCCCTTGGTCCTCCTCCTGTCCCTGCCACTTCTATACTGTGGTAGTTCCTCCCACACTTGCCTCCAGGTGACTTGAAACTAAAGGTGCAGAAGTAGAATTAGGTTGTTTCATTATAGCAGTCAGGAGACACTTTGATCTAGAAGACAAGGGTTAGTGTACCCAACAGCATTCAATAGCGACCACTTTGAATGATGCTTAAAATAATAGTTTTAAAAAAAAAATCCTAAAGAAAACCTCTAAGTAAACTAGACGTAAACTCCCCCCATCAATCAATACTTACTCCAAAGGAAATCTAATAAAAGCAACACATTTTTCAAAGTTTATATATTTTTGTGACAACAGCATATTTTTATTACAATAAATTTTAATGGGCTTAATGACAAACTCTAGTGCTAAAAGTATTAACCCTGTTCAGCAGAGTACTCTAAACTCTACATTGCTATCCCCTCAACGTTAAGGCTTGATATAATTTGTGAAAAATATCTTGCATATATTGTCCTTCCATCTACTGAATCTGATCCCCTTTTACAGTCACAAGGTTTCCAAGCATTAAAAATAAAGGAAAAGCTAGTTTTAGCATCAGGGGAATAAAGACAGGCTCTCCATTTCAAAGCTTTGAATTTGGACTGAGTTACAACGTCTGTTTCTCACAGGCCAAGGATGACAGAAACTTGGATTTTTACCCAGCCTAGCATGACTGAGCTGATTTTCTCACAGTGCAAACTTCTGATGTGCTTAATGTAGCCACAAAGAACTAAAAATAACTAAGAACTTCAGAGCTGTTACTGCTTGAGAATGCTGGGGGGAAATCCTTTCTACTAGTGCAAGACTTGTTGGAGACTTTAGGTGGCATCAGACCTCCACCGGAAAGCCCTCGCGAGCATTTTCAGTTGTGGATTATTCCAAGGCCAGGAGAAAGGTTTCACCTGCTCGTTCCTGTCAGTGATTAACCTTTGAAGTTTCCTGAATGCAAAAAGCAGGAATTAGAGAACAAAGAGATAAAAGGTTGAAGGAAAGCAAATGCTTCTCTTTTACTGCAAATGATCTGTTAGGTTGGTTTTACTTGATGCTTCCGGTTGCCTGACACAGCTTCCTGGTAAAATGGTTTCTCTAATTTATTTATTTTTTATAGCAAGCAACGGTGCTGCCATTGCCTCATATTTTGGTCTCAAGTGTTTACCATAGTGAGCTTAGTGGTGTGTTTCAGCAGAGCTGTGGAGCGTGATACAGACTCCCAGCACCTTCTCAAACTCACTTTAATGACTCCAGCATTTTCAGATACTACAAATTCAGTCATCTTAGCTGAGCAACTAAAAAAAGAGCCACGTTAAGCCAAAAGCAGGAAGACAAACATTCTTCTGATATTCAGTTAGTAGTTTTTCCCTTTCTATAGAATGCCCTTTTGTAACTTGTTGTTTTACACGCAGTGCTGTGACGTAAATCAGCCCCTGCATCCTCCCGTGCGTGCTATTCCCACGCTGGGGGAGGCTTCAGGCTCCAGCCCAGGACACTGGTTTCTCTTGCAGAGCTTTCTGGGGAGCTGGCTGGGGAAAGGCAGCAGCTGAACGCAGGAAGCGGCCATGCCGCGGGTGTCCTGCAGCAGCACCCTGCTCTGCTGTGCCAGCGTCCCATGGGCCACACCATCACCCCTGGCAGCACCTCAGCCTGTGCGTTTTAAGGCTCTACATGCAGTTTCTCAAAATGCAGACTCAGAAAATCTTTCCCAGTGAGACAACTCAGGCTGACTCCCACGAAACACTTGCTCTGAGCTTTGAGCCCCCAGAATCTCTTGCTGCCCTCCCTTCTGGACACCGCCTGTGCAGTGGGGGTCCCACGTGCTGTTACCAAACTTCGGCTGGTACAAAGTGCCTGTCCCGCTTCCGTAGCTGGAAAGATTCATATCTGGAAAGATACACATCTTTCACTTCAGTGTGTGCTTTTTACATTCTGTAAGGTAAAATTCAGAGATGATGGATGTAAGGGAATCTTAAGTGTAAATCTCTAAAATATGGTTCAAGTCCTTTTAAAAGAGTATTATTCATGAGAAGCGTGTTCAGTAAATTAAAAAAGAACACCCTACATTCAGAAACCAAGTCCTCTCCAGTTTTTCCTTTCAAGATGTGCATGCCACACATTACCCCATTGTTCTTATTTATGAGAAATAAGAAGTCAGGTCAGATCATTTATTTTCTTTAAGGTGTGTGAAGCACACAAAGTAAAGCAACAGAACATTCAAATAAAATAGATTTAAAAAATATTTTTACTTTTAATAGTCTAGGGCAGCTTTGGTAATCCAGAGAGCTGATTTTGAGAGTGAGCTCTTTCATTAGGTCTGTGCAGTTTTACTGGAGTGCTGCATAATGTTCTAGCTGTCATCCTACTGGAAAACACTTCCTATATTACTCATATGCAGGTAATTTTATACATGGGCAAAAGAAACCAAGCCACTGCATGAGTCACGCACTAACGAGCAGCATAAACCATGCCATGCATCAGAGGAGAAGCACTGCTGGATGTCTGGCACGAGCGGGAGACGCTGTGGTGAGCCCGGGGCTGGGGCCACTCCCGCAGGGCACAGGGCCAGCCTGTGGTCCCAGCTCCGCACTGGCGTGTGATGCTCACTGCCTCCTCTGCCACCTGCGATTTCTCACAGACGCAAGGGAGCCTCACACACCGAACACCTCCTAAGGACTAAGCCTCTAGCACAGACAACCGCTTGCTGGCAGGGCTCCCTGATCCCACCCTGCTACTCTCATGCACCTCCACAGTCATTTTGGTGCTTTTCATGTCTCATTTCTTCCTGTTACTCTGTCCACCTTTGCTGAACTCTTTCATCTGATGTGTTAACACACACATGCTCCAGCCCACAACTGATCTGTGACTGAGTTACCTCCCTGACCCATATCCTCTTGTCTGGCCAGAAGAGAGTCCTCCCATTTGAGTTGGAGTCTGGAGACTCTGTCCTTCTCAGGTGTGATACCTCGACTCAGGTGGGTATCACACACCTATGTGCCTTGTCACAGGCCACAGCTGTGCTTTTCTGCGATAACTCCTACCCTTCTGCCACTGATGAATTGTGTAGCAAAAACAGATGCCTGACACTTCCCTCCTACACCCTATAAAGCCTCCCCAGATCCTGGATTGACTCCAGTCTCTGACAGAAAGAGAGAGGAGTCTATGACAACTCTGCAAGATAAAATGCTTTGAGAGTTCTGCAGAGGACTCTGAAAGACTCTGGGAAAAGGCTGCAGAGCTAAGGTCTCGGCCCATCTGCCCTCTAATACACACAGACTGCAGAGGTGGTGGGGAAAGACAAAGCAGAAGGCTTGAAAAGAATCAACTAAAGAGAAAATGGAAGTAAAATGGTAGCAGACTGCTACAGTTTGAGTGGGAGATGAAGTATATATAGCATTGCTGTTACTGTGCTAGGGGTCATTTGGAGCAGAATTGTGCCATGTGGCATAAACACATACCTAAGCTCTGAAAAAAATACAGATTTCTTTGGGTGAGAACTTTTACTCAGGTGGGTAAGACTAAGTAATGGCATCTGGGTCAAGATACAAATAAAAAAGTATCAGTATTGTAAACGACAGTCTCCAAGCTCCAGATGTCTCTGTGTAATCAGCTCCTGCAGGTCAGCTTTTAAAGTAAGCCCTGGAGGGATCCTTGGCCTCTTCCTGAGTCTCTTTTGACTCAAACCAAAGAAATTACATGTTTTTGCAGACAACTTACCCCATAGACATTTCAACATAAAAATCATGAGTCATTGTTACTGGAGGAAAAGCAAGCATGGCGATGGAGCCATCGGCACAGCAGGTTCAGGAACGTGCAAGCACCCGCTCAGGAACAAGGGGCACGTTCAGAGGGGCAGCATCAGATGCAGAGAGGGCTGGGGAGAGGCTGTGGCAGAAGAGGACTGCCCGGAGTGTGTGAGGTAACGGTCTCACTAGCAACAACATGAAGCAATAAATACCTTTGTGCTTGTAAACTAATACTGAAGCGAAGCTGAAACGGAGATCTTTTGAGAAGCGAAGCTGTCACGGGTAACGTCACCGCTGATTAGGGATTAAAGAACACCTCTGTGTGTTCATGCATCAGGCCTGCAGTTACTGCAGAGACCTGCCTAGCTGTAGGATTGTTTGCATTTGTAAGGCACTGTTTTCACATGATCGGGATTCAAAATTTAACTTGTTTTCACTGAAGTTTTTAAGCTTGTGTCTCTGAAAAACTATTTCAGGCAAAATTGCATAGGATTGTAAAGTAATTCAGGTGGGAATAGACCCCAGAAGGTCAGCAGATCCAACTCCCTTGTTTGGGATCAAAGCCTGATTAAAAAAATGTTATTTTGTTACAGCAGACATTTTTGATGCCCTTTTTTGTGAAAGGCTGGCATGTTTTGATGCCAAGGGCTTGAAGGCTGGTAGGAGGGAGTGCCCTGTGTGCCAAGGATTTCTACCACTGATGTCTAAACTCACTCTTACTTGGTTATGTTAGAACCCATCTTAAAATATTATTTTTGTGCATGCTAGAAAGAGACTGATTTAGCTGCTAATTTCTTCAGAGGACATTGTTCACACTAAGCAGCACCTTGCTTTCCATTGTAGCCCTGGGCTACACAGAGAAATGGGAGGCTCATCTGGGAGAGGAAGAGCATCATCCCACAGGGAACCCTAGGGAAAGGAAGAGAAAGAAAGGAAGGAGGGGAAGGGAGGAGGCTGAAAGGGATAAAAAGAAGACCTGGGATGAGAGGAGGACAAAAAGAGCCAGGTGAAGACGAAACATGAACTGAAGGCACAGAGGCTGTGGTGCAAAACTAAGGGGCAAGAGTGTGACTAGCTGAGCTGAATGACACAAGGACCGAGGAAAA